TCCCTGCTGAAAGTATTAATTCACAATCCACACCTGAGCAGATTAGCCAAACTATGCAAGTTAATATGCCAGGTGGGGCTGCATCAGTAGCACTGCCTGAGAGAGATGCCTTACAAGATTTTGCTAAAGACACCCAGGAAACACCCTCACCACCCATTATTTCCGCTAGACCTGTCACTAAAATGAAGTCTCAGAAAGTTCCTAAAGGTGAAGTTGAGATGATTACCCAAGAAGCACGTTATACTCATAAAGATCTGCTCGAGTTTTCAAATACGTACAAGCAGAAGCCTGGGGAATATCCCTGGGAATGGTTACTAAGGGTGTGGAATACTGGTGCACGAAATGTAATATTAAACCAGTCTGAGTTTCTGGATATGGGACCCCTAAGCACAGACTCTTCTTTCAATGTCTCTGCGAGAGAGGCTGAGAGGATCTAATTCTTTATTTGGTTGGTTCAGTGAAGCATGAACTGCCAGATGGCCTAGACTGGACCAACTTGAAGTACCTGACCTACCTTGGTACACTGTAGAGGAAGGCATCCAAAAGCTTATAGAAATTGGTATGTTGGGCCCCAGCATCTCTTAAGACTCCTGTAATTGCTATTTTATGTGCACCAGGATTAACAGTGGGCACTGCCCTAAGCGAACTCCGACATTTGCCCACAAGGGGACTGATTGGTTCCCATGATGGTGGAGGGCAGGTGTCAGCACTGAATCAACAGAGACAGGGTGGGCGTGGTTATAATAGACAACAAGGTTTCCGTAGTAATCAGAGCAACCTGTCTCTTGTGGAATTATGGCATTGGCTACTTAGCCACGGTGTCCCTAGGAATGAAATAGATGGGAAACCTACTAAATATTTACGTGATCTATACAGGCAAAGGAATAGTAGATCAGGTGAACAGCAGAATAGACAGTCACGATCACTCAATCAATTCCCAGACCTGAGCCAGTTTAAAGATCCACAACCCCTTGAATGAGGGGGAGGCCGGGTCCCTTTGAAGGAGGACCCTGCAGCATCACCCAAGGTCTATACTGTTAGTCTTTCTTCTAGCCTTCCCCAAAGGGACCTGCGGCCTTTCACAAGAGTAACGGTTCATTGGGGGAAAGGAAATAATCAAACTTTTCGGGAATTACTGGACACTGGCTAACTGAAAGTTAGGCTGTCTTCATCTTCAGTGTGCTGGAACTGAGGCACGCGCTCTGGTCGGAGCAAGGTAACACGAATACTGGAATTCCTTTAACCGTTTAATTCCTTTAACCAGTTGGCTACAGTACAGAATGACTCAAAAGGATACACTTACCGACTCATAGAGTTGTTTACAGGTTTGGCTGGCATCAATTTTCCCTGCAAATGAAGCTGTTGGAACCGTAGTGTTCAATTCATGTACTATTCTGTCATCAATCGTCCTCATCACCTTGAGTAATTCCTATGCACGTTTAAAATAAAAGAACAATAACCTATATGGAAAATCAAGTGATTAGAAAGCAAGCATTTAACCAAAAATAAAACTCTAGAGTATTTTACAACAATTTAAGTTAGGGGTGGGAAAATCATGTACAATACCAGGGCAACCATAGGAAAATCTCAATTTCAAGGTTATAAGTAGGTTACATAATAGTGAGCAGTGGGTACTGGCTCTATCTCCTGGGCTCAAATGTGATGCTCTTCAAGAACAGGCTGTTTTGCTCATGTTAAAATCCTGAACCTGAATACCACAAATTCTCCAAAGCAAGCCAGTATTCTCACTTGGCTCTCTTCCTTCTTTGCCTATCACTCTAAAACTCTCTGTCACTGTAACCAGAAGCCGGTGAGTGGAATGGCACTCCACACTCCTGGTGGCCCTGGCCGGGGCTCAGCGCAGAGCTGTGCTCCATCCTCTGGGTGCAGCCATGACCCTCCACCCTTCCAGCTAACATTCAAGCGTGTTGGTACCACCCAAATGTACTGGAAACTGTTATCAGTGGATACCTTGCAATTATACTATTCTCTTTTAGGTTATTTCAAGTTTTGGTTGGGAAATTATTTTTGTAATGAAAATAAGTAAAATAACACATGCTGCTAGAAAAGAAATCAAATTTCTTCCTGCCTTTTTTGTCCTCAGAGGAAGTAGAAATTTGTTTTATCTTTTCTTAGTCAGCCTTATCGTACATTTCCCAGAGTCCCTCCTTGAAAATCCCTGCAATCTGACCCCCTACCCTAAAATAAAACAACCACCAAAGAAAGAAAGAAAAGCAATACAGAGGTGAGGGGAGGGCTTCGGAGTCCTTTCTCCCACGGCTGGAGGACAGACAGCACTTCTCACTTGTCAGCGGAGGATCTGGGTGCCAGCCATCTTCTATCTATCCCCAGTTACCATCAACACTGGGAAAGATCTCGAGCAGTCTACTCCGTTTTCAATGTACAATTAAAAAAATAAATATCAAGAAAATGGAAGTGTGGAGAAGGTGACTGCACTTCTGTTGGTTTGTAAACCAGAGGGGTAACTGTCAGTGGGAAAAACACATTACGTCTACAGAAGCCTGGGGGAGAATACACCTGGTATTATGCTCCCAATGGGCACTTTTGACCTAGTTTCTATCCAGCCCTTGGTGACTCAGGTCACGTGCTATAGACAACAGGGACTTTAGACTCTGTCCTTTCATAGGTCACACCACAAGTATTCAATTTAGAAATCCCACTAACTGAACTGGATTTTACCTTAGACACACCTGTAGCAAATTAACGGAAGTGAACACTCACTTGGACTGAAGGCTGAACCGTAGTAGGAGAAGAAGCAGATGACTGTTTCCCAAGGTTGTGGATTTGGAAGTCATTGGACTTTGGTTCGGATTTCTTGATTTGAGGGTGTCTGATAACTGGCAATTTAAAACTACTATACACTTTCATACTCTCTCTGCTTTCTGACAACCTGTCTTGGTCTAGCAAGCATAATTTCTACAAGTCAACATCCATGTATCTTAATCTAAAAAGCTATCTTTTACATGTATACTTTCCTTTTCACAATAATATTTTAAATTATACACCACCAACTAAATTAATGATACTATTAATAAACTTACCATATGCCCTATGGGGATGACTTATAATATTCCCCAATAAAATAATAATGCCTCTAAAGTACACCAGGGCATATGTAAATTGTAGATATAGGAATGGATTTTGGCTGAAACTTACCATATATACTCATGTATAAGCCGAGCTTTTCAGATTTTTAGTGCAGTTTTTGTGGTAAAATTAGGTCTCGGCTGATATTCGGGTTGGCTTACACTGGAGAATATACGGTAATTGCAAACTCTAATCTAAGAACAATGAGTTCTTATGACATGGCCCTGCTCCATACCTGCCCTCATGTAGAGATCACTGAAGATATATATAGGTGCTACAGCAGTGGGAGAAGAAAACAGACCCAGTTATCAGAAAGAACAGCAGATGGAGTGTTAAAAGCTTGTCTTAATACCAGTAGACATCTAAGTGAGCTGTCAGCTAAGTTCACATGGAAAACACCAGCCTGTGTGATCCAAAGATCATAGATAATAAAATTCAAGACCGGAATACAAGAAACTGTATTCAAGCTTAAATTCTGAACCCGATTTGCAGAAGGCAATGGTTGACGGTGCAAGCCCAAAATCCATTTTCAGGGTGCTCACGTGGATTAAGCCTCTGGGGAATCCCTCTGACCACTGATCAGGGGCGTGACTAGCCTTGCTATCAGAGTATATTGGAAAGGGGATTAATGTAAACATTTAAAACCTTATCATTTGTTCTCCCTTTTGACTCATTTTCAATTTGTTCTAGTTTTTATTCGTTTCTGCTTTTGTATTGAGGTTTTTCTGTTCTGTTTTGTTTTGGTTTGAAGGGTATATTTTTCTTTATATGAAATACAGGATAGGTAAAATTATAAAAGCATTAACTGGACAGTTTCTTAGCATTATGGCATGGGAGGCTGTGGGGAAATGGGGAGCTAAAATAACGAGTACAAGAAAAGAAGATGAAGGGGGAAAAAGAGCTGATACCAAGGGCTTAAGCTGAAAGAAAATGTTTTGAAAATGATAATGGCAACATATGTACAAAGGTGCTTGACACAATGGATGTATGGATGGATGGATTGTGATAAAAGCAGTACGAGCCCCCAATGAAATGATTTTTTTTAATTAAGAAAGTGTTCTAAAACTGTGGTAATGACTGCAAAATTATTTGTATATGCTTAACCTATTGAATTGTATGATATGTGAATTGTAAGTCAATAAAACTGCTAAAAAAATTTTTTTAAATTAACTTAGTTTCCATTTTTGACACATTTTAATTTGTTTGAATTTTACAATTCTCTGCTTTCTTTTGGACTGCGGGTTTTGTTTTGTTGCTTGGTGTGCTTTGGTTTGGGTATGATTTTATTTACATGAAATCCAGGATAGGTCAAGCGATAGCTACTGGATTAATAGTTTCTTAGGGTGCATTTAGTGGCGCAGTGGTTGCCAACTGGGCTGCTAACCACAAGGTCAGCAGCTTGAAACCACCCTTGGGAGAAAGAGAAGACTTTCTACTGTCCTAAAGAGTTAGCATCTCCGGAACCGACAGGGGCAGTTGTACTCTGTCCTGTAAGGTGTCAGGAGCTGGGACTGACGGCATGGCAGGGAGACTGCGGGAAGTGAGCACAAAAATGAAGAAAATGTTCTCAAATGGATTTGAAAATGTTCTCAAATCTCCTCTTAATGTATTTAACTACTGATACATGTGAATTACATGTCAATTAAACTGTTAACATTTGAAAATAAGTAAAATAAAAAGCTGAAGTGTATAATATGGAGAATTGGCTTATCGTTGAAGCCATCTACCAAGTCAGCATTTAACATCAACGCATGTAAAAAGCAACTTTGTTTTGATACTCTTATCTCTTTCAAGATACTATCCTTTTTCTCTCATTGGCCAAACTTAAAGCAGTTACATAAGCGAACTCAACTCAAAATGTCCTGAAGTGTGGGGAGAAGGGGAGAGGGGTCCCCCACAAATCATCACGGGTCCGGTAGGCGCAATTGTACAGCGATAATAAGGATTATAGTAAAGTCATAGAGAGCATGAGAGTTAGAGGAGAAATTAGAATAAATGGAGTCAGATACAATTCATGGTAGCATTGCTCACCTCAGCCCTGCTTGACGGTCCTCGTGGGGAGAATCCGGCCACGAGAGCAGGAGCAGCCTCGGGGACCAAGAACCTGGGAGCCTCCAGGCCCCCGAGGGCAGAAGAGAGCTCCTGGGCCCAGGAGAAAGCCTCTCTTCTTTATTGCTAACCACGCATTATATCACTTTAGAAGGACATGATTATAGAATCACACGTCACAGGAAGGGGCAGTACAATAGGCAAACACACTGTAGGAAGGGGATCTATGATAGGCATAAGCGTAACAAGAAGGTGTGCCCATAGGAATGGGAAGATCTAGGGGTATACATGTGACAAGATGGGCAGATCCTAGATTCATGATGGCAGCCTAACCTTGGTCATCCTTGAGCGGGTTTGACCTCTCTGGTGTCTCCTACAAGGAAACAGACAACTACTATCCTTTTCAGAAGGGAGTGTGCCCTACTTGTTGTGGGATAAACAGTGGTGTCTGCTTGGTCTAGACAGCTGATAACTCTCTGGGAAAATGACCCCCAACCCACTCCTGATGACCTCCAAGTATACAGTCATTCTCAAGCAGCTAAGTCTGGCATATATTTGGGGGAGACAGCTTGAGAGAAATACTTCTGTTTCCCACACTGAAGACATTTTTTAATAACTGTATAAATATTCCATCCTATGGCAGTACCACAACTTATCTGACCACTTATCCACTAATGAACATTTAGGTTGTTTGCAATGATAACCACCATTTAGTTCACCAAGTCTAAATCTGTCATGATTACTCCATTGATCTTTAATTAGTTAATTTAATGGCAGTTTCTAGACCCCATTCTAGAAGTAAGACAGCTTGTGGAAGGCTAGCCTCATTCTTCCACAGCATTAAAACAAAGGCAAATGCCAGGTCTAAAACAAAACTCATCCTCTTATCCCATTTTCCTGGATCTTCCTATTTTGTTCAGTCTCTGTAAATTTGATTTCTTATGGAATAATCTCAATATAGTCACTGGGCAACCACCCCTTTAAATAAAGTGCTATGTACAGTGAAGTTTGGTTCTAAAACAAACCAAACTCAGTGCCATCGAGTCGAAAGGAACTCCAAGCAACCCTACAGGGCATTATGGAAGTAGAGAGTTCTCTGGTCTTTCTCCTGCACAGTGGCCAGGGGGGTTGTAGTGGTGACCTTGTGATTAGCAGCCCAACTTTTAACCACCGTGCCACCAGGCTCCATACAATATCCCAAGCTAAGCTCACTGCCTTCGAGTCAATGCTGACTCATAGCGACCCCCGGTGGGTTTCCAAGGCATAAACGTTTAAGAGGAGAAAACCCCGGTTTCTCCTGTGCAGCTGCTAGTTTCAACCATGAGGATCGAAGCCCAAGGCATAACCACTACACTAGTATATAATACCAACAAATAGTAAAATTCCAAACAAACTGTCTCAAGCACTGGAAAAGATGTAAGTATAAGTCAAAGACTCATGGCGCCAATTTTACCTGCTAACTTCCCTACTAAGGAAGAAAGGGACGAGGGGTTCCTTTAAAATACTGTCTCAAAGCTCCCCATATCTAAATCAAACTGCTGTGGCCATGCTTAAATTCTACCTTTTGGAAATGCTTTCCTGAGCTCAGAGAACCCTCAACCGTCTTCCTTCTTTGAATACACACAACAGTTAGAAAAAAGTATCACAGAGTTTACTAATTTGTTAACTTACTTTTCATTCAAAAAACAGTTACTAATGCCTACACCAGGTGTAAGTTACCACTCTAAACACCAGGCTACAGTGGTGAGAAAATGGAAAAGTCCTTGCTTTTCTGGAAGGATCCCTGGTGGCACTGTTGGCTAAGTGCTGGACTGTTGATTACAAGGAGGGAGGTTCAAACTCACCAGCTCCAGGGCAGAAAGTTGAGATTGTCTGCTACCATCAAAGGTTAAAGCCTTAAAAGCCCCACACAGGGTCAATGAGACTCGATGAGGGGAGTGGGTTTAGATTGCTTTTTGTTCTTAGGGAGCTTAAATTCCCATAAGGGGAGACAGACAATAATTAAGTGCCCAATAAACAAGATAAACACACATTGCAAAGTACTATGGGAGAAAAATAAACTGGAGAACTGGGAGGAAGAGTGACTGGATGGAGCTAGGGGCTACTGAAGCTAGGGAGCTCGAAGGATGTAACATTTGAGCTGACACCCGAATGATGAAAATAAATGTTAAGACTCTTGGCGGAGGGCGGAGAGGGGAGGAATTCTGAGGCAAGAACAAATGTTGGGGTGCTTGAGAACTAAGAACACACAGGTGGGTCTGAAGTAAATCAGAGAAAAAGTAGTATGAAGTGATGAAAGTAGGTCAGATTAGCAAGGACCATGTTTGACCATGGAAATGGTTAAGGATTCTGTTTTAAAGGCAATAGTGTTTGGAGCAAGGGAATGACATCACATGGTTAATGTGTTAAAAGATGGCTGGATGCTGTGTGGAGAACGGACTTCAGAGGGAGCATAATGGAACCCAGGAGACCATTTCAGAGGCGGTGATCTACGTAAAAGATAAAGATGGCTGGATAAAGTTGTAGGAGAATTAGAGAGGTTGGATTCGGGGCGTATTTTGAAGAACAGCTGACAGGCTTTGAACCAGTAGAACGGCGGTTCTTAAGACCCTTTCACAAGGGTCAGTCGATTCACAGCAGTAGCAAAATTACAGTGATGAAGTAGCAACAAAAATAATTTTATGGTTGGGGGGGGTCCCACCACTTGAGGAACTGTATGAAAGGGTCACGGCATTAGGAAGGTTCAGAACTACTGCGCAGAAGATGAAATGGTTTGAGGCCTAAGCAACTGAATGGACAGTGGTGCCAAATCAACATGTTCTTTAAGCAACGTTGGATATTTTCATAGCTAAAAGATCCTTGGAAATTTGCTTTTAGGGATTCGAATACTTAGAGACATGGAAGCAGCTTAAAAATGTTTAAGCAATCTTATTTTTACAAGTTCAAAAGTTGATTCACAAAGATGTTAAGTGATAAGCTATGGTTAAAAAAAACCAACCTCACTGCCAACCAGTTGATGCTTACTCATTGCTACAGTTACAAAGCTTTTTAAGGGCAGAAGCAGTACTAGAACTCTTAACTCCATTATCAGGGTTCTTTCCAATAGACCATTGCTCAAATGCCTGAGCTCATTAACTCAAGTTATAGTACTAATCAATACCGACGATACCAATACCACCAATAGATCACTGCCATCGAGTTGATTGATTCAAAGTGACTCTGCATTATATACAGTTTCCAAGGCTGAATCTATATAGGAGTAGACAGCCCCATCTTTCTCCCACAGAGCTGCTGGTGGGTTTGAACTGCCAACTTGTCCGTTGGCAACCCAATGCCTCTCTGCAGCGCCACCAGGGCCCACGTTGACCTTAAATACAACCGGTTTTTCCCATCTGGTTTAAGCACTCGGTCACATTTGTTACAGGCTGCTGCTGTGCTGATTCTGTGTGAGGTGCAGCTGAAGTAGCAAAAAAGGTGCAAGTAATGGAACCCACATGAACTTCTTTGGCAATGCTGTCAAATAACTCGATCTGTTTAGGTTATCTTCAAGAATGTCATTACCTACAAAAGTTTGAAGCACAAAGTTTACTACAGCTACGGCAGTGACACGTGAAATGACTTTTCAATACTTTTTGGCACTGTCGAGGAAGCGCTGGACTATTAACCACCAGGGTAAGCGGTTCAAACCACCCCGGGGAGAAAGCTTTTCGTACTTGGAAACCTACATACGGTCTCTGTGAATCGACTCGACGGCAGTGGTTTGATTTGGGTTGTTTAAAAAGCGATATATTTCTAAGGCCATGATGTTTTATCTTTAACTCTACTAACTCCACAGTAGCACATTTATACCTCTATTGGAACCAATAGCTTTCATATAACTTTATCAAAATCGTGTCCCGTTCTTGACTTCACAGGCCTATTATAATCAGCCCTGAACCTCTGCTTGTTTTCCTCGTCCGTTAAATGTTCTTTTTTTTTTTCAGGTTGGGTCAGGTGCATCTTTTTTTTTTTTTAATCATTTTATTAGGGGCTCATACAACTCTTATCACAATCTATACACACATCAATTGTGTAAAGCGCATTTGTACATTCATTGCCCCCGTTAAATGTTCTCTAACGCTAGGAAAGCAGCAGCACCAGAGCCGGGTGCTAGAATTCATCGCTAATTCCAAGCGATTCCGTCCCATCAAAACAGTAAACCGTATCTAAGATTTGGTGGTGGTGATTTTTTTCTTTAAACAAATAGACAAGCTTTCTTTTTTCCCCCCGTCCTACAAAAACTTTGAAAAGCTTAAGAAGCAGGACCTGGGGCCTGAGTTCGGGGAACTGTTTCTCGGTAGGCATAGCCCTAGTCGGCTGGCTCTCCGGGTTCAGTTTCTCCATGCCTGGGCGGCGCCAGCAAAACCGTGACCCCAACGTGCAGCCGCGCGCTCTCAGGCCAAGCCCGCGCCCCTCGTGACCTCCAGTGTAGCGTCCGAATGCCCGCGCTTCCACCCCCGACCCGCACCCCTCCCAGAGCAGACAAAAACAGGGTCCGGAGACAACAGGAGGGACACGCCCGTCACACGAGGAAAACCCCGTCACCTGGAACTCGGCGAACTCCTCGCAGTTCACACCGCCACTGGGCGCCGCCATATTGGACGAGCGGGTTCCGGTGTCCGGGCCAATCACGGCGGGTTCCGGTGTCCGGGCCAATCACGGCGCGTTCCGGTGTCCGGCCAATCACGGCGCGTTCCGGTGTTTGCTTCGCCGCCGCCGCCGCCAATCGCAGCACGCGTGCCTTTTCTGGTCCCTAGCCTCAACCCCTTTTCTTGACTTCGGTCTCTTTAACATGCTGACTTGGGAGTTGAGCTAGAGTCAAAGGTCGGAGAATACCAGAAGTTGAAGGGATCATTTATTCCAACCCTGTCCTTTTACCAATAAAAACAAAAACCACCCAGATTGTTGGAGTTAGAAAACTTAAGTGGAAGCATTGTGTTAGCCCTCTGGCTTGGTAGTTGAAATCACTAGGAAAAGACAAGAAAAGGGGCATTCTTGGCAATGGAGTGGAGTCCAGGTGTGGAGTAAGGTGTTCAGTGGTGGAAATGCTTCGTTTTTAAAAAATAAGGTAGAGCACATTGATTTATCACGTTAGCCTTGAGAGCTGCCTCCAAAGCCATCGAGAGAGGGGGGCCATTGGGCACCGAAATCCCATCATGTTGCTTGATGAAGGGATTCATTAAGAACACTACAAGGATGGATTCTGAAATACGGCTCCTATCTAGTGTTGTCGCGGGCGCTTACAGTTCACAAAAGTTCCACAATGTGCTCATTCTTGTTTTCTTTTAAAATGTTGTCATTTCTTAATTCCAGAGAAGGAGGAGGAAAACGCCCAGGACCCGCAGGCTCCACGGGCGTCAATTTGCCTAGGACGCGAGCCAGGCCGAGCCCGCCGCCCGCACGTTCTGCGCGTCTCGCACGTCCACTAGCCCCGCCCTCACGCTCGTGCGTCACTCCCAGCCGCCCTCCTACTCGCCCCGCCCCGCCCCTCCCGCCAGCGCCGCCCTCCTCTCATTCGGTGACTTTGAGTATCGTCTCGGTGTGCTCGCGCCACTGCCACCTACCCTGTGACGTGCGGTCCGCGGAGCAGGAGGCCATGGGAAGCCTCCGCGGCTTGCGCCTGGCGGCGGGTGAGACGCGGGCCGCGCTGGGCTAGGGGAGGGCCCGGCCACTGGAGGTGGGAGGAGAGGATCCTGCGACCTTTCCAGGCCCCGGGACACCCCGATGTCTACCTCCTTCGGGGATGATAATGGGAGCGAGCAAAGACTGAGCGTGCCGCTACTTAAGCAGGCCTGTGGGCAGCCTCGGATAGGCCTTCTCACCAGCCTATCCATCCACTCCCGTCCCCACCAATTTAGCCCTCGCTCTGCGTCCCGTCCCCTCTACCCACCCGCGCCCCTGCCTCCTCTGAGCTCAGTTGTGCAGCCCCATGGTCATGCAGCTGCCCACCCAGCCCCGTCCGTGCTCCCCTGGCCCTGTGTCTCGCAGGAGGATGCCCCTGTCTGAAGTCTGAAAGTTCCCTAACCATTTAGTGTCAGACTATGCCGAGGATTTAAAGCCTCAGCGAAGAAGAATACGTACTCGTTTTCTTAAAAAATGGGAGGTTTCTTTTAAATAGTTCTACAAGTAAGTGCTTTGAATTCCTTGGAAGAACGTGTAACGTAAATACAAGACCTGCGGTCTATTTCTGTAGTGGACATTTGTGTAATGGGCGTTTGGGAGACAGGGGATGAGAACTTAATTTGCCTCCGGGGGCACCAGAAAGCCTTAATCTAGTAATAAGGGCTGAGAAATCTTGTCTCTTTACTAGGTACTAAGGCAGATCATGCTTTGGATGGCCTTCAATTACTTTGAGAAGGTGTGGCGATCTTTTCTCCGTATTATCTAATAACTTAAAAATTGCTTGATTCAGTGTTTAAAGGTAGAGTAACCCCAACTTGCCTATTGAAGTAATAACGTTGTGCATGCAAATGAAGCACCGTAAGAGAAATAGAGTGAATGTTGGAGAACTTGACAAGTTTGATATGTAGAGAAAGGGAAAAAAAACCCAAAAACCTGGCTTGTGTGTCCATGTGGACTAGAAAAGTATTCACCGTCACAGAAAGCAAATTCCACTAAAAAATGAAAAGAAAAACACTGATACTCTTGTTGTTTTATTGCTGAGCTAATTCCCCTAAAATCTGTATACCTTGTGCTCCCTTTATAAAGCTTTTCAACAAAGTGAGCCATTGCTCTTGTGAAAAGAAGGGAAAAAAAAGCTCTATGAACTTCTGCTGTTCCAGAACTTCAATGCTTGGCAACCAATCAAAACTATTTCCTCCAGTGATTTAAAAGTAATTTATTTTCTTCTGGATCATAAATGTTGCATAGCACATGAAGTTGATATGTGAACAACACGTTAAGTGTCTGATATTTTCTGAATAACTCAAAGTGATCTGCTCTTTCACCCATACCACTGGACTGTCACATAATAGCCCTCTCAGAAAAGGCTTATCATCCCCTCCCATTTTACAAATGAGGGCAGAGGGTTAATGACTTGTCCAAGATCACTTGGCCAGAAACTGTTAGGAGTGAAAACCATCCATTTGCCCTGTAGTGAGTGGATCCGGATTCCTGGTGACCCTGCAGGGCAGAATAGAAATGCCCACAGGTTCCTGAGCCTGTCAGTCTGACAGGAGCTGATCGCTTCAGGGGTCTCTCAAACCGAGCACTTCATCCACTGCACCACCAGGACTCAAGGAAGAGGTAGCAGTGCCCTCTAATGCTTAAACATGTGAACTTTGCATTGTTCAAGCTGCTTGTTCAGGATATGTGTATATATGGATCTGTCCTCAATATCTTGTTATGAAATTGAAGAGGCATGAAGTACAAATTGTTTGTGGAAGTAGAAGCAAATTGCTTTATCAAGCAGATTGATATAAGGGGCAACACTAGCCAAAGGATTGGTAAAGCAAATAGAAACGTAATCTTGGCTCATATTTGAAGCATTTCAAATAAATAGAATCCCAAATAAAAGCAGAATCCTTTAAATGATGAAGCTCTATTTTTTTTAAGATCATTTTATTGGGGGTTTCTTACAACTCTTATTATAATCCATATATCAGTTGTATCAGGCATATTTGTACATTTGTTGCAATCATTCTTTTCTAGACATTTACTTTCTATTGAACCCGTGTTATCAGCTCTTTTTTCCCTCCTCCCCCTACCCTCGTGACCTGTTGATAGATTATAAATTATTATTTTCATATCTCACACCGACCACTGTCTCACCCCCGCCCCCCCCCCATGGTTTCTATTGTTGTTCCCCCTAGAGGGGGTGTGTGTGGTTATATGTCAATCATTGTGATCTGTTCCCCTTACCTCCCCTCCTTTCTCTCCCTTCCCCCTACCTTTCTGGCACCGCTGTTCCCATTCCTGGTCCTGGATTCCGTGTGGAGCTCTATTCTTAAGTGCTTCTGGAAATTTTTGCAATTGCAATACTCCCTCAGCAAACATAGTGTACTCCCTTGGTAAACACAATGTAGAGTGTACGACCTTGAATTTGTTCTTTTGTAGCTATAACTATGGGTCAAGGTTGTTAGCTCCGGGTTCTTAGACCCCCTCACTTGTGAGGGGCCCCTCTGATCCTCAAAAATGATAGGAGTATTCATGAGCAGAGTCCTTGTCAAAGTATTAGAATAAAGAGATATCTTAGAAATCAAGTAGTCCAGTCTGCTCGTTTTACAGACCAATGGAGCGGCTAAAGCACAAGAAGGGAGTTGACATGCACAAGGTCGTGCACGTGCAAGCCTAGGACATAACGCACATCTTCTGGCTCCCGTCCCTATTTTATTTAGACTACATTCTGCTCCCTCGCTGTTCCTTTTGTTTATTCTGGCTCACCAACTCTAAATGAAAACGTGCCCTATTCTTACTGCTCCAACCTTCGGCTCCATCTGTCATGGCTCCCGAGGTTGTGCCAGCAGGTTTTTATTGAACACATAATGTGGACATCACACTGAGTACAGTGAGGGCCTACAATTCAGTGGCTGCCCCTTCTCCCAGGGCTAACATTGATGGCAGCAAACCAATAGACCTCTCTGTATCAGACAGTATTTTTTAACTTTGAGATGGTGGAGCAGATTTGCAGTGCCACGATGGCATTCCTGCTGGTTTTGTGATGTTGCGTTGGTACCTTGGCCTGCCATGAGGGAAATTGTCCGCAAACACAACAAATCAGGGCTTCTCCATGCCGGCTCCTTCCCAAGAGGCAGGAAACGATTGGCTTCAGGACTTCAGAAAAGGGGGAAGTAGTATAGGTCAGCATTATCTCCGGAAAGCTCCCTTACAGCAGATGGAGCAGAGTGGGTGGTGTGAGCAAAAGCAAGGGCCAGTATGAGTGGGGGAAGAAAGGAGAAGGAATCGCCTTGGATTGCGGTCAGGAGGTAATAGGAGATAAGGTGTGGCCTTTGGGGCCACGAGAATTTGGACGAAAAGAAGGCACCATGTGCATAAACCATCTGGGGCTAATATCGGACCTGTTCTGTCCACGCTAGGACAGAAGGATATTCGAACTTCACACAAACCCAAGGTTGAGTGCCTTACGGCAGAGGTCAGACATGCCTCTGCCCTCCATCTCCCTTTACGTACTCCTTCCAGGCCACTCTGCTGGGTTCAGTAATCCATTCATTGCCGAGTCCCCACAGAACTCCCAGACAATACTCAGGATTAGGGAGTTTATTAGGGAAGTTAATAGGCTAACAAAGCCAGGATCCATAAACAGTAAGATTACAGTCAGTGGTCCACAGCAACACCTTTCCTCAACCAGCAGCCAAGTCTCTCTAGCTCTGGCCTCTCGGTCATGTGGTCTCTTGGTCTCTGCCATCGTCGGCCAGAACGCCAGCCTGCTGCTCTCGCTCATAGTCTTACAGTCTCCGTGCTGCTCCTCGGTTCTGTCTCATGGTCGCCTCACCTCTGCCTCTGGTCTTGGCCTGACGCCTTTGCTCTACCTCATGGTCCCTTTCTGCAGCCTCTGGTGCCTCTGATCATGGCCTTGGCCTCTGCCACTTCAGACACATCTTGAATGTGCTCAACTGCTCTTCCTTGATGGTCATGGGATTTTTGGTTTTTATATGTTTCTGCTTTTGAAATGGCTCTTATACACAGAGGAATGGCTTTGATGGAAGGTGTGGGTTTATCTTTCAACAGATTATTTTCCCGAGGAAACAAAAGTGGTGACTTGAGAGTCACACCCTCTACTGAGGTGGCGAAGTGGAATACATCCTATTTTAATCCTTTCACAGAGCACTCACCTACAAAATGGGATTCTAATCCCAGGCACAGAGGCTAGAATTTACAGTCCATCACAAGAGGGCTTGCTGCTAGAAGGGCCATGTCAATTGATTGTATAGCACTATCAAAGCAACATTTTTGAAAAATTAACCTAGCAGCTGCATGCAAAATGAATTACAACTTGGAAGGATGTTACAGTAACCAGTGTGTCACATGTTTAACTTTTTGAAGAACTGCCAAACTGTGGTTCTGTGGTCGTAGCCAGCCACCATTCGTGGTTAGTAGCTCAAAGCCCCCAGGGCTCTTCATCAAAGTCCCTGCTATGAGCCGTTCCAACTCCCAGTGACCCTATAAGGCTGGGTAGGTTTCCAAGACGAGAAACCTGCATGGGAGTTGAAAGCCTCACCTGGCGCCCAAGGAGGGACTGGTGGTTAGGAACTGCAGCCCAGTGGGGAACCCACTACATTTGTCACCAGGGCTCCTATCAGATGCCACTAGCCTTCTCCCATTTCTGACTTTCTTTCTCTGTTGCTCTAGGCAACTAGAGACCATTTGTCATGTCCTGGACGGCCTGTTGCAAGCTTTTAAGACCCCAGGCCCTAATCAGTGACGTAGGAGGTAGAAAAAAAACATTAAACACATTATTAGGCTTATTTACTGGGATGTCCTGTGAAACTATGACTGTAAACCTCCAAACCAGCAGGGAACCCACGCCCTTGAGTCATTTGGTTGTATGCTAGCTAAGCTCCTCTTTTTGTTTTTTTAGTCAATTCAACTTTTCACAAGTGTACAGCTCTTTGGGGCGTCATTTGCAGTACTTGGCTGTGTAGTGCTACTCTTAGTCAAGGATATCTCCATC